CTTTTGTGGACCAAAAGTTTGGTTAGTTGGAACAAAAACAATCTTAGAGCAAGAAATATTAAAAAAAAGGACAGACCCAGTGCATAGAAGCTCCCACACAAGGTGGGGTCTGGGTAGAGCAAGAAATATTGTGAGGAAAAAAATGTTTCTTCAACAAAAGTAGTTCTCAAAATTTTCTCATTGCACGGTAGAACAAAAAAAAACAGCGCCTTACAGACTAGCTCTAGTGGTCTTCAATGGAAATTGTTCTCCTCTGCATTTGGTCGCTGCTTCTGCTGATTAATAGGTCCAGCTAAATTGCCCGGTACAAGTTGCGAATAGTATTATGATTGGACCATTAGTCTGATCTGCGTATTTTCTGTGATGATGATTGGTCCAAAAAGCAATTCACTTTTACATGTCAATGGAAATTCACAATACACACTTTAAAATTGATTTTGCAGTACGGGCAAAAGGTAATTAAGATATACACAACGCCATATGCCTTTTGGTCTAAACTAACGGTATACCAAGTGCCAACAAACTACCGTGGTACAAGCAGAGACGACACGAACTCCTGCTCTTGGCTGAACTGACGTGAGCTGTTCTGACCAATCAACGGAGCAATGCCACCACGCCCATTGTTTCCTGCAGCTTCAGAGTGAGGCTGTGCAACTTCGCCTTGCTCCACCCTCGGTGCAACACGGCGCCCCGTCAGGAGCTGCAGCCTCATCTCCACGTCCTTCATGGTAGGCCTCTGCGCTCGTGTCAGACATAGGCACTCCTCCGCCAACCGAGCCATGCACATAACACCTTCCTTCCTCGCTTCCTCGAGGATCTGGGGATCCATTGTCTCCTCGAGGGGCCTCTCCCTCATAGCCCACAAGAAGTAGTTCGACAGATTCTGCTTCTCGCCATGCTCGTTCTGAATGATCGGCTTCCTCCTCGTCAGCAGCTCAACGAGTATCACTCCAAAACTATAAACATCGCTCTTTTCGTTGAGCTGACCGGTGTGGTAATACTCCGGATCTAGGTACCCAAACGTGCCCTGAACGGCAGTGACTAGGTGTGTCTGGTCGATCGGGATCAACCTCGATGCGCCGAAGTCTGAAACCTTTGCGGTGTGGCTGTCCGTCAGGAGCACGTTCATGCACTTGACGTCTCTGTGTAGGATCGACACGGAAGCCGCAGAGTGCAGGTACGAGAGCGCACCCGCGATCTCGGTGGCAAACCTCAGGCGCTCCTCCCAGGACAAAGGCGACAAGCTACCATTCTGCTCGCGGTGCAGAAGGTCGTAGAGCGTCCCGTTGGAGACGAACTCGTAGACGAGCAGAGGGACCTCAGATTCTAGGCAACATCCATGGAGCTTTACCACATTCCGGTGGTTGATCTGCGATAGGATGGAGACCTCGTTGATGAACTCATTGATCTCGCTGATCATGGCAAGCGTTGATTTCTTGATGGCCACCACTCGCTGGTCGGTCAGAATGCCCTTATAGACAGTGCCATGGCCACCACGTCCGATCACACGGGTGTGATCGAAATTATTGGTTGCCTTTTGCAGCTCCTCCAGGGAGAATATCTTTGTGCCAGCATCGCTAGCACTTTGATCTGAAGAGATCAGCTGTTCTAGCAGAATGCCTCTGTTCTTACGGAAATGCCTCTTTCTCAAACGTTTCTGAACATTTCCCTTCCATCTCCGAGTTAGAATAGCAACAATTGCAGCAAGAAACAGAATGCCTCCACCACTGCTTAGTCCAATAGTAACACCTGCAATGGATGACCCGTTTAAGTCGAGTTATTTATCTCCGAGATTATAGCAGTAACAGTAATACATAGAAACCACTATGATTTTTACCTAATATTATAGTAGTTGGTTTGCATTTTCCCATGACGCTATTGAAATCTGTTCCACGAGGACAACTGGTGCATGTATAACTTCCGAAACTATTCTGGCAGATACCCTTGCAGATGTATTTATCTGGCTGATGGCACTCGTTGGTATCTGTAAATAGCACACAGTAAGATCTCTGATCATCTTTGCACCATACGAAATTTGTATGCAATCTGTCACACAATAATGCGTGCAATTTTTACAACCAAACTATCTACTTATTTGACCCATGGCACTAATTTTGAGCTTGAAACAGCAACAAATGTTTGTGTATTTAGCAATCTTCATATTTTTTGGCATTCTGCCACATCATAGTGCCCCTCAGATTTTCTGAAATTAGTTGCGGGGGCAGATAAATCCTCGTGCTCAAAGCTACTTTATGTTTGTCGATTTTGCTATGAACAAATTTATTTATTTTGGGAAAAATGTAAACCATGTTGACTATCTTATGTATCAACTGGTCGCGGGCAGTGAAATTTATCCCAACAATCGTTGGAGCAGGAGCGGATGGCTCTGGTGCCATGGGGTTGGAATTGGCTACAGAGACGTCATGTCCCTGTTAACATATAACGTAGTGTTTGATTATTATTTTTTACACCTTATGTAGCTTGTTGTTTCCTTGGAAGTTTTATGATGTGAATATTGTATTGGTGTTGTAATAAGTTACCTTATGTGCATCTTTGGATACAGGGGAAGGAATGATGAAACGAAAAAGCAAATCATTCAATTTTGTATACTGTGGCACCGTTACATGCTTGAATGTGGCTGAAGATTATCCATTTGTAAGTTATCTCTTGTTTTTTTATACCTTAGTCATGTTTCTAAGTCTTCAGATCATCATCCAACCATCCCAATCTCATCTCACTTTATGTAAACTGTAGGCTAAAAATTTGTACGAGCATTACACTAAAATTGCACACTTTCTGCAGTACAATTTTAGGCTAACTAATATTTTGTCGGGAAAGTTATTTTCTTGGGGAAAAACTAATAGGCAGCTTTAGGTGACTGATTAACAAAAAATTCAGAGAACTGAGATTAAGCAAAAATGAAATGATTCTGAGAGTATACCTGTGCATGCATCTTGAAGGTAAGGATTCCCTTCAAAACCAGAAGAGCACTTGCACCGGTAACCGATATGTCTGAGTGTTCTATCGTCAGTTACATCAACACAGTCGCTGTGGGTGCTGAAGCATCTGTAGTCGCTCTTGTTCATCTTTGCATGCTCGCATGTCATGTTATCAATAGCCCACTTCACCATGCGCCTTTCTCCCTCTCCAGATAAGGCATAGAGCGGGTGGTCCGAGTCAGACATGAAATCATCTGGCTCCGATATCCCATGAATTTGTAATACACCGCCGCCAATAGATATGTCAGTGACGAGCGTTCGATCGGTCAACTGAAGGACGGGAAGGGCGGCTGTTGGGATACATTTGAGGTAGAGATGGGGCTTGGCGAAGCAGCCTAGTTCTGTTCCGAAGGGGAATGGGGTGCTCACGTTATTGCATGATGTGGGACAATCCGCTCTTGGCTGGATGGAATCATAAGCTGTTGCAGGGGAAAGCCGAAAAGGATCAAGCCAAATGTTTGAGCAAAGAAACAACTATTAATATTTAAAAAATGATATCACATAAATATTGAAACAAAATAGTGTAAAAATAGTAGCCCATCAATTCTTCTCAGATAAGGAAGTGGAAATCCCCAGGAAAAATACATGTGAGTAAGATCGTGTTTGATTGAGGTGGACAGATATGAATTTAACTTGCCGAGCTCTGCATTTTAAGGAGAGTTCTTTTTTTAGGAAAGGAGAGTTAACGCTATACCTAAACCACATGATCTAGTTAAAAATCATTTAGGCCAACTAGCTAGCTAGTAGGTTCTAGGACAAGGTATTTATATACTCTTAAAAAGTTAAAAGTAGAGATTCCTCGCAAAAAGAAAGTTACTAGCTAACTACAAAAGCTACCTTGAACCAAACACAACACAAAATGTTTAACCCAGTCACATATATACATGGAGAGGATGACCTGGTGGGTTATGGCAGCCGCCATATATGTAAGCGTTGCCCTCCATGGCGCCCGACTGGCAATAGCAAATGTATCCACCGATTGGCGAGTCCTCGCACTTGCTGTGGTTGCTAATGCAGGCATAGCTCTCCTTGTCCTCCATGGCGCGCTTGCAGTTGGGCAACTTGGGCTGGTAGGGAATAGACCAATCCAGCTGAACTGTTCCTGAGTATTGAAACCCAGAGTATGCACCAATCGGGGTGAAACTTGGGTCCATACTATCGCTCATGTAGGCTTGCACTTGTTTTGAGCTTGGAGAGCCGTTGATGCGCGAGATGTCCAGAGTGAACGCCCTTAGGTTCACTTGTATATCAATGAAACAGCATCCGAGGCCAACCATGGCATCACACGTTCCCACAGTTAGCTTCTCCATGACTTGAGCTTCTGCACAGACGACGGAACAGTTCCCGGCCTCAACGGCCGAGTTATCAATGAACAGCGAAGCCCTGACGCCGCAGCCAACAACGAACAAGGATATGTTTGACCAGCCAGATATGGCAAAGGGCCTAGCTGGAGCTTCCCAGTGGATGGAGTAGTCGCGTACACCGGGAATCATCTTCACGGTGTATGAGATACTGGTGGTGAACAGGTAGGAGTCGGGTACATCGGAAGGGAAACTGACCTCCAACATTGAGTTGCCCAGCATGGGATGACTGTCATTGGTCTGCTTGTCGACAGCACAAGTGAGATTAAAACCAGGCAAGGAGCATGAAGGACCTACTCCGAACGGAAAAGGTATGAGGTGATAACCACAGGTGTCGGGGCAGTTTCTTCTAGCCGTAGTCACCGTGGCAGTTGTTGCCGGCACCGGCGGCAACACAAGCACTGCAAGCACGAGTAGTGATACCATGGCCCTGCTCATCTTATATATGTATACTCTGTGTTTATCCGTTTGTGTTGGATAGCACCGGTCCCTCAACTTGTTAGTGCTATATAACATGCATCTAGTGGTCTAGCCGGATGCATGTTGGGTCTCGCTGACTGACTAGTAGTAGTGAAACGACTGAAAATGACTTGCTTGGAATGATATGTGGGCCGTGGAAGAAGGGGCACACGGGGAACCACTGGTGGGCCGTGGATGAAGGGGCACCCTTATTGACTAACTAGTGGTAGTCTCGCCTCAAAATCAAAAAAAAAAAAAAAGACTAGTGGTAGTCATGCAGACATGTACCTTTCGGGTCGGCACTCGTCTTTGTGACAAGAACAGGTCCCCAACCTTACGATTCATGTGGAGCAGGGGAAGCTTGCACTGATTAAGCCATGGCTGAATTAAGCAATGGAGAGCTTGGGCTCCCATTACCCCTGGAGGCTTGCACTAATTAAGCAATTGTTTAGTGGTGAGTACATGCGTCTCGAACAACTGGGGCATATCTAGTTGCAGCGCAGGACAGCACATGGGGACAATGGACCATCTGAATGCTCTATGATAGTTTCATCACTTATGCTTCTGAATGGGCCAATCTGACTTGATTACTTCTGCCTGTACAGTCACTTTGTTTCAGATAATGATTTCTTTCTCTTCTGGAAAACAGTCAGATTGCTCTTCATATATACTCGTACCTAGCTGTCTAGTCTATTTTTTTTAAACACCTACCATTCATACCATATTTCCTTCTGATTTCTGACTGATATACAATGAATTAGCCAACAAAAATCCTAGGCCTGGTCTTGATCTATAATCGCAATCGAAATTACATCCTCAATTTGTGCATTCTTATATTTCTGATTTTATTGTAAAATAAATATACTTTTGCTTCTGAGTTCACTGGTGGTGTGCTGGGTCACTCTCACCCACTGGTAAAAAAAATACTACCTGCCATTCATACCATATTTCCTTCTGAGTTCTGACTGATATACAATGAATTAGCCAACAAAAATCCTAGGCCTGATCTTGATCTATAATCGCAATCAAAATTACATCCTCAATTTGTACATTCTTATATTTCTGATTTTATTGTAAAATAAATATACTTTTGCTTCTGAGTTCACTCGTGGTGTGCTGGGTCACTCTCACCCACTGGTAAAAAAAATACTACCTGCCATTCATACCATATTTCCTTCTGAGTTCTGACTGATATACAATCAATCTCGTTCGTCATTTAAAGTTTTAGACACCGTTTTCATCTTTCTATAACAAAATGCTTCAATTATTATTCCAGGAAGAGAAAGCTACTGTACGGCGAATCCTTCCCTTGCTTCAGCGTCACACATTGGTTCAGACCTTTGGACCAAAGAACCATGTCCGTTTAAAGGCCAGCTCCATCGTAATTTCACCATATGCGCCTACACAGAAAATGCAAATTCCATCTTCATGTACTTCCGTGGTCTCTTCTACGACACCAGCAATGGTTTGGCAGCACAGCACATGGGGGCAATGGACCATCTGAATACTCTATGCTACTATCATTATTTGTACTCTGATTTGGCCCATCTGACTTGATTATTTCAGTCTGCACATGTTCTTTGGCACTTTGTTTTCAGACAAGATTTGCTTTCTTTTCTGAAAAACTGTCAGACTACTCTTCATATATGCTCGTAACTACTCCCTCCATCCCACAATATAAATGTCTTATATTATGAGACGGAGGGAGTAGCTGGCTACTTGAAAGTAACTACCTGCCATTCCATACCATATTTCCTTGACTGAAATCTCATTGGTTATTTTATGTTTTAAGCACCATCTTTTATCGTTCCGTAACAAGTGCTTCCAATGTTATTTCAGGAAAAAGAAAGCAATTGTATGAAGATTAGGGCATGCACGGGTGTTTTTGTTGTTGTCTCTGTCTTCTCTCTTGCATAAGCAAAAATAAATGAAAATTCAGGTAAGCACTCTCCCCTCCTGGTGACCATTAAATAATCATCCTTTTGTGGAACAAAAGTTGGTTAGCGGGAACAAAAAAAATCTTATAGTCTGGAGATTGAAATATTTTGTGAGGAAAAATGTTTCTCATAACAGAAGTACTTCTTGAAACGTTTCTCATTGCACGGTGGAACATAAAAACAGCACCTTCCGGACTAGCTCTAGTCGCCTTCAATGGAAGTTTTCCTCCTTTGCGCTCTGTTTTGGAACAGAGGAGACAAAGGCATATCGCTGGTTCTGCTGATTGGTGGGTCCAGATTGGTCCAAAAAGCAATCACTTTTACAAATGCCAATTGAAATTTCCAATACACATTATAAAATTGGGTTTTGCAAGCACGAGCAAAATGTAATTAGGATACACACAACTGTATATGCCTTTTGTTCTATACTAACAGTATGCTTCATGCCTACAAACTACCGCGGTACACGCAGAGACGACGCGAACTCCTGCTCTTGGCTGAATTGACGTGAGCTATGCTGACCAATCACCGGAACAACACAACCACGCCCAACGTCTCCCGTAGCTTCACGGCGAGATTGTGCCCCTTCATGCGGCCCCGCCCTTGGTACAACACGGCGCCCCGCCAGGAGCTGCAGCCTCATCTCCACATCCTTCATGGTAGGCCTCTGCACTCGTGTCAGACATAGGCACTCCTCCGCCAACTGAGCCATGCACAGAACGCCTTCCTCATTCGCTTCCTCAAGGATCTGAGGGTCCACTGTCTCCTCGAGGGGCCTCTCCCTCATAGCCCACAAGAAGTAGTTGGACAGGTTCTGCTTCTCGCCATGCTCATTCTGAATGATGGGCTTCCTCCTCGTCAGCAGCTCAACGAGTATCACTCCAAAACTATAAACATCGCTCTTTTCGTTGAGCTGACCGGTGTGGTAATACTCCGGATCTAGGTACCCAAACGTGCCCTGAACGGCAGTGACTAGGTGCGTCTGATCGATCGGGATCAGCCTCGAAGCGCCGAAGTCTGAAACCTTTGCGGTGTAGCTGTCCGTCAGGAGCACGTTCATGCACTTGACGTCTCTGTGTAGGATCGACACGGAAGCCGCGGAGTGCAGGTACGTGAGCGCACCCGCGATCTCGGTGGATATCCTCAGGCGCTCCTCCCAGGGCAACGGCGACAAGCTACCGTTCTGCTCTCGGTGCAGGAGGTCGTAGAGCGTGCCGTTGGAGACGAACTCGTAGACGAGCAGAGGGACCTCAGATTCTAGGCAACATCCATGGAGCTTCACCACGTTCCGGTGGTTGATCTGCGATAGGATGGAGACCTCGTTGATGAACTCGTCGATCTCTCTGATCACAGCAAGCGTTGATTTCTTGATGGCCACCACTCGCTGGTCGGTCAGATGCCCTTGTAGACAGTGCCATGGCCACCGCGTCCAACCACACGGGTGTGATCGAAATTGTTGGTTGCCTTTTGCAGCTCCTCCAGGGAGAATATCTTTGTGCCGCCATCGCTGGCACTTTGATCGGAGGAGATCAGCTGTTGTAGTAGAATGCCTCTGTTCTTACGCAAATGCCTCTTTCTCTGACGTTTCTGAACACTTTTCTTCCATCTCCGAGTAAGAATAGCAACAATCGCAGCAAGAAACAGAACGCCTCCACCACTGCTTATTCCAATAGTAACACCTGCATTGGTTGATCCGTTTAAGCCGAGTTATTTATCTCCTTATATATAGCAAGCACAGTAGTATATGTACAAAATAAATGAATTGTTTACCTAATATTATAGTGGTTGGTTTGCATTTTCCTGCGACACTATTGAAATCTGTTCCTCGAGGACAACTGGTGCATGTATAGCTTCCAAAACTATTCTGGCAAGTACCCTTGCAGATGTATTTATCTGGCTCACGGCACTCGTTGGTATCTGTAAATAGCACAGTAAGATCTCTGATTATCTTTGCACCATACGAAATTTGTATTAATGTCAATTTTCACAAGAGAACTAACTACTTGACCCATGACACAAAGTTTGAGCTTCAAACAGCAGTAATGTTTGAGTGATCTTCAGGCATTCAGCAGCACCATAGTATACCTTAGATTTTTGGAAATTTGTCTATATGATTTTTTTAATTTAAAAAAAGGGAAAACCAATTAATATTTGTTGACTATCTTTAACTTCTTATGTACCAACTGGTTGTGCCAGTGAAATTTTTCCCGATAACAATTGGAGCTGGGGCGGATGGTTCTGGTGCCATGCTGTTGGAGTGGGGTACAGAGACGCTATGTCCCTCTTTAACAGATAATGTAATATTTGATTTAGTTTTTCACGCCTTATTATGCCTTATATAGCTAGTTGCTTCCTTGGAAGTCTTATGATGTGAATAGTGTATATGAAATTTATAATAATTTATCTTGCGTGTATTTTTGGATGCAGGGATAGAGAGGTGAAACAAAAATGGAAATCATTTGGCTCTCAATTAGTTATAGCCTGACAACATGCTTGAATGTGGTTTGGGAGTATGTATTTGTAAGTTGTCTGTTTCTTACATCTTATCCATGTTTCTAATTCTTTCGATCATCATCCAACCATCCCCGTCTCATCTCACTTTATATAAACTGTGGGCTAAAAATTTACTTAAGCACTACACTGGAAGTGAACACTTTCAGAAGTACAGATTTAGGCTAACAAATATAAATTTTTTTGGTAAAAAACTAATATGAAACTTTAAGTGACTGTGATTTATGAAAAATTCAGACAACTGAAATTAAGCGAAAACTAAATGGTTCCGAGGGAGTATACCTGTGCATCCATCTTGAATGTAAGGATTTCCTTCGAAACCAGAAGAGCACCTGCACCGGTAACCGACATGTTTGAGTGTTCTATCCTCTGTTACATCAACACAGTCGCTGTGGGTGCTGAAGCATCTGTAGTCGCTGTTGTTCATTGCATGCTGGCATGTCATGTTATCAATAACCCACTTCACTGCACCCCATTGCCCGGATGATGTGTAGAGCGCAGGGTCCAAGTTCCAACGAGCCATGAAATCGCCTGGCCCCGATGCCTCATGAACTTGCAAGATGCCGTCATCAATAGATATGTCTGTGACGAGCGCTTGATCAGTCAATTTAAGGACCGGAGGAAGAACGGTCGTCCCTGGTGTACATGTGAGGTAGAGATGGAGTTTTGCAAAACAGCCAAGCTCTGTACCAAAGGGGAACGGGATGCTCATATTCCCGCATGATGTAGGACAATTCGTTCTTGGCTGAATGGAGCCATATACTGTTGAAGGTGGAAAGAACAATACTAATAAATATCTAATGATGATATATCACGTATATTCAAACAAAATAGTGTACTTCCTCCGATCCATATTACTTGTCGCTGACTTAGTACAACTTTAATTGGGAGTACTTGAATATACTCTGCAAAAAGGGTAGCACATCTAACTAAGATTGCGTTAACCCCTAAACTAACTGAGGAAAGGATATAAATACGTTGATATATACACCCAGTCAACCATGTTTTCTGATTCTTAAACCACATCATGTAGCCAAACAATCATTTGAATTAGGCTAACTAGGCTTTGGAAACGGGGAAACTAGGACTTGGTATTTAACCTAGCTTAGTGAAAGTTGTACTACTAGCTAGTCATTTTGTCGATCCGCCGTTATCGGCATTTTTTTCTTTTGTACTTTCTCTTTCATTTCTTTTGGGCGTGACTGTGTTGCTTCCGCCCCAGCACCTATCGTTGGTTGTCTCGGATGGTTGCTTTGTAATACAAAGCGGGGGGAAACCCTTTGTAACACAATAGAGCTATCCCAGTCACATAGTGGATGATAGGTGTTTTGGCTGCGCAGAAGCTAGGGAGGCTACACTTCTTTTCGAAAAAAGTAGATGATAGATGGAGAGATGACCTGGAGGATTAGGGCAGCCGCCATCAATGTAAGCATTCCCCTCGCCTGACTGGCAGTAGCAGAGGTATCCACCGATCGGCGAGTCTTGACAGTTGCTGTGGTCGCTAACGCAGGCATAGTTGTCCTTGTCCTCTATGGCATGCTTACAGTTTGGTTGGTATGGAATAGACCAATCCAATTGAGCAACGTATCGCTCTAATAACCCAGAGTAGGCGTCAATCGGCCTGAATGTTGGGTTCATATTGTAGGCGATGAAAGCTTGCACTTGTTTGGGGCGTGGAGAATCACTGATGCGTGAGATGTTGAGGGTGAACGCCCTTAAGTTCACCTGTATGCCGATGGAGCAGCATCTGATGCCAACCATGGCATCGCATGTCCCCACAGGTAGCTTCTCCATGATTTGAGCTTCCGTGCAGACGACAGTGCAGTTCCCGACCTGAACGACCGAGTTTCCAATGTACAGTGAGGCTGTGACATCGCAGCCGACAACAAACAAGGATATGTTTGACGAGCCAGAGATGGCAAAGGGCCTAGCTGGAGCTTCCCAGTGGATGGAGGAGTCGCGGACACCGGGAATCATTTTCGTCGTGTACGAGAGACTGGTGTGCAGGTAGCTGAGGTAGGGGTTGGAATCCGCAAAAACCTGAGACACCTTCAGGGTTGAGTTGTCCGTGCCCAGCATGAGAAAACTGGCGTTGGTGTGCTTGTCGACAGCACAGGTGAGATTGAAACCAGGCAAGGAGCATGAAGGATCTAGCCCGAAAGGGTAAGGTATCACATCAGAACCACAGGTATCAGAGCAGTTTCTTGTAGCTGTAGTCACCGTGGCAATTGTTGCCGGCGGCAACACAAGCACCGCAAGCACGAGTAGTGATACCATGGCCCTGCTCATCTTGAATATGTATACTCTGTTTCTCTGTTTGTGTTGGATACTACTTGTGCTTCAACTTGTTAGTGCTATATACAGTACTCCCTCTGTAAACTAATATAAGAGCATTTAGATCACTACAGAGGGAGTACCATTTAGCAGCCGAATGCATGTTGGGTCTCACTAGTAGCGGAAGGATTGAAGACGGGTCTCGCTGAACCACATGCGGGCTTTGGAAGAAGAGACGCCATTGTTGACTAGTCACACGTGGAAACAAACTTGTGGGCCGTGGAAGAAGGGACACCATTGTTGACTAGTTGTAGACATGTACCTTTCGGGTTGGCGCTGTCTTTGTCATAAGGTCCGTCCCCAACCTTATGAGTAATCTGGAAGCTTTTTTTAAGCAAGTTCGTACCAGTCGTCAGTCAAGGAGGGAGCTTGGGACACATCCAATTGCAGCACAGCACATGGGGGCAGTGGACCATCTGAATTACTCTATGCTAGTTTCATTATTTAGACTTCTGAATGGTGTCCAATTTGACTTGACTACTTCAGTTTGCACATGTTCTTTGGCACTTTGTTTCAGGTAATGATTTGCTTTCTTTTCTGAAAAACTGTCAGACTACCCTTCATACATACTCATAACTAGCTGTTAAGTTGAAGATAACTACTCCCTCTGTAAACTAATATAAGAGCATTTAGATCACTAAAGTAGTGATCTAAATGCTCTTATATTAGTTTACAGAGGGAGTACTTACCATCCCATACAACATTTCCTTCTGACTGACATACAACGAAATCCCTCGCGCTGGTTGCTTGAAGTTTTTAAACACCATTTTTATCTTTCTGTAACAATTGCTTCCACTATTATTTCAGGAACATGGTTGTTCAGGACTTCGGACAGAAGATCATATCTGCTTGAAGGGCGGCTCCGTTGCAATTTCGCCATATGCGCCTCCACAGAAAATGCAAAAACCATCTTCATATACTTACATGGTTTCCTTCTAGATCCCAAGGGTGGATTACTGTGCAAGGTAAAATGGCCGTCTGTTGGCCAACAATACTCTTATGCCCCTCTTCTTGTATTTGTTGATCTGACCTTTAACCCCACAGAGGTGCTTGTGCATCTGCTGGGGAGAAGTTCAAGAACAACCTGCTCTTTGACATCTCAACCGATTGCCCACCCAGAGCTGTGGTTTTCTGTTAAATCTTGAAGTTGTAACAGATGATGATGATCCGACTCCTGAAGCTGTTTGGTGTGTTTGGTTTGCATCTGTTTGGTGTGTTTGTTTCCGAGGAGGATGCTCCGACTCCTGAAGCTGGACAGTATCCTGAAAAGATGTTATAGAGGAAGCAACCGACTTGTCGGAAACCCTTCGTAATGAAGCTATGGTGTTCGAGTGATGGTACACGTATACGATAAAATTTGAACCATTCTTGTTTTCAATCTGTACGTTCCATGTTAGTGTCGTGTCAGCATTGTGGAGGAAAGTATTGTATGCACATCATTTTCGATGGTGTTCCTTTTTTGTGCTCAAGCTGGAGATGCATTTCATCAGATACTCGCAAGCTCCCATATGGCAAAACTGTGTGTTTTTTTTGACGCAGAACTGTTTTTTGACGCCCGGGCAGACCCTCCTGAGCTAGACTACTGGCCTGGTGGGTGAACTAGCATCTCTTGGGCCTTAAGAAATGCCAGTCTTTTTTTTTTAATAAACATTTCAAACTAGGTAGGTATACTTTGTGGATGGCGCTTTTTTTTCCAGCAACTTGACGCAGTGAACATCAGTCAGATAGGTCTTCTCCGTTTGTAGTTTGGATGGCATTTTAAAGCTGCTTAGTTTTTTTAGGGAATTCAAAAGTGTTTGATTTTGGATTGTAAAGTAGCTGGGCCGAGAGAATTCCCAGCGGTGGGCCGCGGGAAGGTGGCCCGCTTGGTCTGGCTATAGGCGGTGTATGCGGGCTCAGGGCCCTTTTCTATCCTCAGGCGGCCCTCCAAGCTCCTCACCTCAGGCCTCAGGCGCAGGCGCCCCCGGCTTCCCTGATCTCATCCCCGCTCCGGAAGGCTCGACCTCCTCTGGCGGCGCCGCCGGAACCTCCACCTCCACCTCCACCGCCTCTGCCCCCTCCCACCCCCCACCCCCCCACCAAAGCACCGCCACAGGAGCCCTTCCGTCTCCTCCCCTCCACCGGATCCATATCAGACGCGGTTCTTTCCTTCCCTTGGCAATCAAACCCTAGCCTACTCGGATTTGTCTTCGCTTTATTAGGGTTGGACACCGCCTCCACCGCGCTCCCCCTCCCAGTCACCGCCTCAAACCGTCCAGCGGCCGAGCGCGAGCACCATGTCCGTGGCGGCGGGGGTCAGCGATGCGGCCATCGCGGTGCGCGACAAGCTGCGGGGCAAGATCGGCCAGACCAAGGTGAAGCGCTACTGGCCGGGGAAGAAGCCCGAGTGGGCCGACGAGGCCGAGGACGACATAGATCTCCGCGCGGCCAGGGTCTCCCTCGACGAGGCGTTCCCCAAGGCCGAGGAAGGGGACCGGGACCGGGACCGGCCCCCCAAGGACGACCGGCGGCTGCGGCGGCTCGCGGAGACGCGCGCGGAGAACAAGGAGGAGCTCAGGGCCGACCACCGCCGCATCCGGCAGGCCGAGATCGTGTCCACCGCCGAGGAGGAGCGGGACAGGCAGGAGGCGCAGGCGGAGGAGGAGGACGACGAGGACGCGCAGGAGGAGCGGCGGAGGAGAATCAAGGAGCGGCAGCGCCTGCGGGCGCAGGAGGAGGAGGAGCTGCTCCCGCAGGAGGATGAGCCGCTGGAGGATGACGTGCAGGAGTCGGAGGAGTCCGAGTACGAGACCGACTCGGAGGACGAGCAGATGGGCATGGCCATGGTGAAGCCCGTCTTCATACCCAAGGCGCAGCGGGACACCATCGCCGAGCGCGAGCGGCTCGAGGAGGAGGAGCGGCAGGCGGAGGAGAACATCAGGAAGAGGCTCGAGGCTAGGAAGATTGAGACCAGGCAGATTGTGGTGGAGGAGATCAGGAAGGATGAGCACATTCAGAAGGCGCTCAACGAGGATGCTAGCATCGAGGATGTCGACACGGATGATGAGCTGAACGAAGCTGAGGAGTATGAGTCATGGAAGAACCGTGAGATGGCGCGGATTAAGAGGGACAGGGAGGAAAGGTATGCAAGGTTGAAGGAGAAGGAAGAGATTGACAAGGTGAGGAATATGACTGAGGAGGAGCGCCGGGAGTGGGAGAAGAAGAACCCGAAACCTTCTCTCCAGAAGTCCAAACAGAAGTGGAACTTTATGCAAAAGTACTACCACAAGGGTGCCTTCTTCCAGGAGAGTGGTGATGACGTGAGTCAGTCAGCTGGTAGAGACGCTATATACACCCGTGATTTCTCTGCGCCCACCGGTGAAGATAAGATGGACAAGAGCATCTTGCCTAAGGTCATGCAAGTCAAGCATTTCGGGCGGAGTGGCAGAACAAAGTGGACACATCTTGTTAACGAGGACACTACTGACTGGGATGCACCGTATGTACTCATTCTTATGGCATTACTGTTTTCTACCTGAAAATGTTCAGCCGGCCTGTTTAATTATCGTCATATTGCTTATCAGTAGAACATGTGCCATCTATCCAATACTTTGTCCAGACAATGCTTACTTGCCTAAATAGAAGACACACCGTGTATGCTTTTCAGCTGAATACTAATAGCCCCTCTCTGGTCCTTAAATTGGCATGCCTGATTTGTCCCTCTTTTTGTCATTCTAGCTTTGTCGATGGTATTTATCAATTACTCCCTCCGTCCCATAATATAAGAGCGTTTTTGACACTAGTGTAGTGTAAAAAACGCTCTTATATTATGGGACAGAGGGAGTAGTTTGTTTTTGGCTAAAAAGGGCACTCATTCTGATCTTATAACAAGGATCATGGCCCTTACTTATTTCTTGTTGAATTTCAGATGGGCTACAAACGGGCCGCTGCGAACAAAATATAATGCAAAAATGGCGGGCATGAATGCACCTATTGCTAAACCAAAGGGAAGTAAGAAGATGAAGGATTGGGATACAAAGCGAGATGATTAAATGTTTGTTTTGTTGGCTTTGACCCGGTACCACTCTCCTACTACCATATGATCACTAGCTGAAAATGGTGCTTATGCAGATGTTTTATTTCTTTATGTTGATCACATATGAGACATGTGCTATCATTTAGTCTTGTACTATCTTGCAAAATGCTTTTTCGGAGAAGTATTTTGTACATATATGTTTCTGTGACTTCTCGCGACAGGCGCATCTTCTATAATATTTGCTTGAAAATTTTGTCGTTTGCTAGTCATGCTACATTTGTGTGCTCTTGAGAATCCTATAGTAACAGAATTCCAAGAAAGCCTTAATTTGTAGTGTTTAAATTGAAGAAAACATAGGCCAAAAAGGGCTCATGTGTGGCTTTATTCATAGCTGTTGGACAATATGAGATACCTGGGATTTGTGTTACAGACTAACAGATCAAATTGAGGCTATTTCTCCAGAATTCACTGCCTCATTTAGTTGCCTGTTCATTTAGTTGTTGTGTTCTTTTCCATCACCTTCATTGTTAAGGTTGGAATGAAATAAACTATTCTTACCAATCTCAGTTCAAAATTCAAATAGCCATGTAGGCTGACCAAATCCTCCCCTCCTGAACTCGACTGCTGGCCCGGTGGGGTTTGTTGCCAAAAATTGGCATGCCAATGTTTGGCATTGTGCCAAATATTGCCTACTACTCCCTCCGTCCGAAAAAACTTGTCATCAAAATGGACAAAAAGGGGTGTATCTAAAACTAAAATACATCTAGATACATCCCTTTTTATTCATTTTGATGACAAGTATTTCCGGACGGAGGGAGTACTTGGTTGGTTTGTGCCCATCTCTTATAAAGTTGCCAATAGTTGGCAAGTCTTGGTATATTGCCAATATTTGGCAATGGCAACATTTGGCAAGCCAAAAATTGGCGGCAAACTAATTATG